GGGGAATTCCGAGGAATCGAAAAATCGAGGAAGACACATTGGGGGAAAAAAATTGAATTTTGCCCCCAGTCGGGTTGAGTTGTTCGCCTTCCCTCGACAAAGCCTCGAACGTATCTGGCATTTCGTTGCTGCGGAACATCCGTAACCGGAAGTTAGGAGAAATTCATTTCGAAAAATTCTTCGTCCAAGCTTCTTCAGCTTCATCCAAGCAGGCTTTCGTCCATTTCGAATGGAATTTTTCGCGAAGGCCAGAAGATAAATAATGTGTGTGTTTGATTTAAAATTTGTTGAATATACAGGGTGTTCCGAAGTTCTGTGTTCGAACCTTGCCAGTATGTACTACGGATGAAGATAAGCAAGAAATCAAGTAAATGCTTCGTTGAAAAATTGTAATAAAAACGCGAGGTGTGAATCGTATTCGTGATATTCAACGCGAACAATGGATCAGTCGAAGAAGATCCAATTTTCTCTTCCAAGCTTCTTCAGACTTCTATTTATTGTGGAAAAAATATTCGTTATCTTCAGAAGCAATTGTATTTGCACGAGTTGAATCGATTGTAAGAATGAAAGCCGGATAACATTTAGCGAAATAAATATATTTCAAATACTGTTTAATATAATATATAATATATAATTTGTAGTTTAATATATATTTAATATTATATAATATTATATTAATTTATATTAATTAATATTATTATATTATATTAATATTATATATTATAATATTTAATATTATATAATATTATAACATATATTTAATATTATGTAATTTATAGTTTATAGTTTAATATAATATAATAATATATAATCTTCGATTCTGTCTGGCTTAAATAAAATAAAGTATTCTAGGATTCTACAAAAAAAAAAAAAAAATATTTTCACTTTAATAGTCTAAAGCGTAAAATAAAATATTTTATCCTGATAATCTGGCATAAAATAAAATACTTTGATCTCTGCTTAAAGCACTGGATTATTCCATAAATAACCTGGTTCTTTTGATTCATTCTTCTACGTGAATCTTAGAATTTTCAACGTCAAGATATTGAAAGAAATTGAGATAGGAACAAGTTGTAAATAACGATGGTAAAAAAAAAAATATATATATATATTTTTTTTAATTGTTTTAAAACACTCTGAGAAAACACATGTTCACCTGCTGTATTATTGTATTAATTTTACACATAGAAAAACTATAATATTTAAAATGAAAAAAAAAAGGTGAACCAAGGTAAATAAAATATTTCAAGAAAAATATCCAAATATCCCCAATATCCTTTAAATAAAATATTATTTTCAAATACTATTTCGAAGCTTTAGATCAAACTCTGTATCAAATGAAATATTTCAACTTTCAAAGTTATACGTACACTTTCAATAAATAAATAGGATTATTTACCATTTATTATTCAAAAGTAGTATTTTACCCGGCTTTGATCAAAACTACGCGTGAGGAAATTCGATAAATTTGATATGAAACTCGGCCCACTGTAAATTCAATGGCACCTCGATATTAATTTTGCCTTGATAAAAGGAACACATATCAGTATTGTATGGCCATACGTTTCATATTTTTGTAACTTTGACTTTTTAGCGAAGCATTTACGGGTTTTTCGCTATGTGACATTTTTTAGTCTTATCTCTATCTAAAGCCTAACCTAAAAGACAGAGAGAGAGAGACATAGATTCCCGCAGTCGCCCTCAGGGAAACCTAACCTAAACCTAAACCTAACCTAAACTTAACCTCAACCTAAACCTAAACCTAAACTTAACCTAAACCTAAACCTAAACCTAAACTTAACCTAAACCTAAACCTAAACTTAACGTAAACCTAAACCTAACCTAGAACGCACTGGCAAAGTTTGAACGTTATTATAATAACATTATATATTAATATAATGTATAATTACATTGTGACAACAATGATGATAATGGAATTAAAATATTATCAAATACTGTCAATTTGGGTGTGCATTTTCTGATGTTGTCGCACTCGTAACAACTTCATTGCGACGTTGTTTCGAGCTGGTGGCTCGACGAGCGTTGAATTCCCCCCAATTTCCCCACGTGCCATTTCCCTGATGATACGTAAGACTCGTCCGTCTACTTTCGGATAACCGGCGATTCAATGGCATCCCGCAGACGTGGAATTCCCTCGGGGATAAATCATTCAGGATAAACCATTCCGCCGTCAATCAAATGGACAAATCGCGCGGGCCGGCATCCTCGACTATCTGCCAACGTACACAATCCACGAACCGGTTAAATCAATTCGGGAACAGTGTTTGACAGTGGGAAAAGAGGCGAAGGGCGCGTCGTGTTCGTGGAGCCAATGATAAATTCTCACGCGTGAAAACTCCACCGGCGGGATTCGCCAAGACGAATGCGTTGTTTGCCTCGCCGGCAGCGGCACACGTAAACAACCGATTCCTCGATTCTCGAGCCGGCGCGCCGCGCAAACAACGCTAGGACCTAACCTAAAAATGCTAACGTAAATATTCGACTCGCCCAACAGAGTGCCCCCCTCGCGAGCATTCATCATTTCGAATTTCATTCGATTCTGGGGAAGTTGGAAAAATTACCAGCAAATAATATTCTAATAATATGATGAAGCAGGAGAGTATCGATTTCTTCTTAATTGCAGAACAAATGGACTCCTGTCTTTGTTATTTTCCAAGGATTCCAATCATTATGAAAATTATCTTTCCGATAGCCCGTTAGTTTTGGTCCAATTGCAAATTCTCATCATCGTGATATTTAACGAGAAATATTGAAGAAACTTTTTTTTGGTTGCAGACACGCACTGGCCGGTGTTCGTCTGCGTTCTAATGGCGACGACGGTGCTTTCCTGTCGGCTGAGCGAGTTCCAATGCGGCAACGGCCGCTGCGTCGCCCTCAACAAGGTGTGCAACGTCGTCGACGACTGTGGCGACGGCAGCGACGAGCCACGACAATGTTCTCGTGAGTAGCCCAGAGCTTTCGATCGAATAAACAGTGTTAACATTCGACGATTTCGAGTGACGCTTTCTACGTACAGGCTGGCCAACTGAAAATTAATTAATTATATTTACAAATGAAAGAATAAAAAATTTTTAAAACATGTGTTCGTAAAAGTTATTTTTGTTTAATGTCATTCGGTCTTTCAGTGGCCACCCTGAGCTGTCGATATAAACGACTGACTCACAGTTCGACCGGGTCAATTTTGGTTATTTTTGGCGCGAGAATGTACGTGTCCATTTGTCAAGTTCAATATAATTACTTGTAAACTAACATTCGTACAATCTAACCTAAACCTTGAGGGTATAATAATAATAGTCTTCGCGAAATGAACTATTTCTTGAAAGTGTGATACCGCTCGTAAAAGCGGTACTCATCTACAGAAAATGTTTTGTTTATTTTCTTCGAACATACTCTACATTATCTTTGAAATCGATCACTGGGTCCATCTGATCGGTAAACTAAAAAGTAATTAATAAATTATCGATCGATAACCTTGATCGTTGACCACCGAAAAGCTGGTTAATCAGTTAGCGGTCGATAACCATTGACGATCAAAAAGTCGATAAATTGGCTAGCGGTCGATAACCTAAATCGATCGATAACGTAAAAAAAAAACGATTAATAGGCTTCTCGTATGTAAAGTGTCAACAAGAGGACTAGATAATCTAAATCGATCGATAACTTAAAAAAAAAAAACCGATTAATAGGCTTCTCGTACATAAAGTGTTAACAAGGGGACTAGATCCAGCCGAGTTAAACGCGATCGCAAGGCCAGACTCCTGGAAATCGAGTTACGCCAGGGATCTCGAGCCACCCCTCGCGACTCCACAAGTTTCATCGACGAAACTTTGCGTAACTGTTGCGTGCCTCGTTGCACGACACGATCGCGTCGCAGCGAAGAAACGACGAAAAAGAGGCAGAGAGAAAGAAATCACCGCTCGCTGGAGCGGAGAAACGAACTCGAAATTAAGATCATCGGAGAAAAATCGTCCTTCGGCGAGATCCGATTAACTCCCGAAGA